AGAGGTGAGGCACTGCTCTGAACACAGATGTCCTATGTTAGCTGCTGAGCAAATGTGAACCATTTTCTCTAGAGAAAAGCCATGGCCCAGAAGAGAAGACCTATACAGATTAACGATTATCTGAGAATCATCAAAGACAATGACCTAATATAATCTTACTGAAAGTCTTTAACATCAATCAGCAATTTCATCTTTAGGAATTCATCACAAGAGGTAAGTGAGTAGGGAGTTAATAAAAGAAATGTTCACTGGGAATTCCCTGGAAGTCCAGTGGCTAGGACTCAGTGCTTTCATTGCTGAGGGGTCAGGGAACTAAGATCCCACAAGCCTTGCAGTACAGCCAGAAAAAAAAAACTGTTCACTGCAATACTGTTTATAGTATCAAACCAATGGAAACAATCAGTCATAAAGAACAGATAGTTATGATATATCCATATATTAAAAAAGAAAATAGTCACATGATAAGATGCACATATCACCTGAAAAGGATAACAGGCAAAATACATGGACCCAATTAATACATACGGCTAAGCCTTTTGCTTATATAGCTTTTCTCCCATGATGAAAACAGCTTACTGGAATAGTTATTAAAAATATTTAAAAGATTACATAATCCTTGAAAAATGGATATACTAACCATAGCAAAGTTTTAAACTTAATATTTCAACCTCAAAAAATAATTAGGACACTAGTAACATTTGCTTCTTTAAAAAAAATGCATATAGCTCCATCTTATTAATTTTAAATTTTAATGAAATCAGTATGATTTCAATGGAAAGACAAAGTATAAAGAAATAACTAATGATTCCATAAGCAGTTCTCCATATTCTTACTACTATGCCCTTGAATGATTCTTGTAATTTGATAAATCAATAAATAACAATCGAAAAGCTACATGCAAACACCTGTAGCATTTTAAAATCTTTAATTCTGCATCTTCAGTGCTATATAAATATTAAAATATTCTTAGTTCCTATATTGGGAGATATAAGCATTTCTAATCACTAAATGTTTCAAGCAAAACAAAATTTACCTTTATGCATTTTTAAAAAATGGAAATTAAACTTTTTGGAAAGCAAACAATTTTATAAAAGCAAGCACTCTTGAAAACGCCAAGTAAATTAAGAAATGTCTACTTAGGAAGATGTCATTTAAAATATTAATTATAAATAAAGGCAAATACAAAAAAGACAGTAAGAGGGAAGAATTCATAAGCACAATAATCATTAGAAAAAATCAGACAAGAAAAATAACCAAAAGTAATAAAAACAAAAATCTACCAAGTAATTAAATGTGTGTAAAACAAATAGGCCAGTAGAATAGAAAAATGACTACATTCACAAATATACATGTATATACAGAAATATGATCAAAATTATATTTTACAATATAGCAAAATAGGCTATTATTAAATGACTAGTCATTAATCAATGACAAGGGGACATTTACTATCATTTTCGAACAGTTAGTTATATCCCTATATCATATATATCATGAACAAAAAGTCCTCATGGATAAAATTATTAGGGAAAAAAACTACAGAAAACTTGCATAGTATTTTTGTAATTATGAATTGAGAAGGCAATCCTAACTATATTCAAAAAACCTAGAATTTATAAAGGCAAAGACAAATAGTAATTTGTCACGGAACCATAAACCTAGAACCAAAGTTAAAGAGATACAGAAAATTTGCAGCAGAAATGAAGTGGCTAACAAATATTTTTAAACGACCAACCTAAGCAAACAAAAAAAAATTTTTTAACCTATCAGACATGCAAAAAAATTGTAATATTTTTATATGATTCATTTTTAAAATTTTTATTGAATTTATTACAATATTGCTTCTATTTTCTGTTTTGGTTTTTTGGCCAGGAGGCATGTGAGATCTTAAATTTCCCTGACTGGGGAGTGAACACACACCCCCTGCACTGAAGGCTAAGTCTTAACCACTGGACCATCTGATTTTGCACCAGATAGGCAAAGATCACTGACTTCAGTATTGGGTGAGGTTGTGCAGGAAAAGATGCACTCCCACTTCAAAGAGTTGAAAAAAGCAAAATCAACATTTAACCAGTCATTCTTCTTGACCTAGCTATTCTATTCTACTTCTGAGACTCAATCCTACAGATATATACTAGCACAACTAAATAAACCTGCATCAACAGGATGTCCTCTGTAATACTACCTGTAATGCACAAAACTAATAAAAACACCTCAATGGGTACAATCTGACACCATGACGGACAGACTTAAACAAACAATATTCATACCATGAATATTATGTCCTCATTTTTTAAAATCAGGTAAATCTGAATATACTGATAAAAGACTGCAAAGGATAAACACTTTCCTGATAGCTTTCCCACCCCGACTTCTAAAACTTGGAACTATGATTTGATTTCGCCTTTTAAGAGCCATCAAACCATGATTTCCAATTTTCTATGGAATTCTACCAATTTAAAATTGATCAAAGTATCATGAGATAAATAGGTATTTTTAAAAGCCTGTTTTTTATACCAACTGTATCATGAAAAGAAAAGTTACCTGCTTTAATAACCAGCTATAGTTACAAGTCTAAAAAGTGATTCATAATTTTCAAAAAATTTTTAAAACACTTCATGTTTTCATTCATTACAAATGTTTTAATACTGGTTTCCTTAAGAAATATGAAATAGCCAATTCCTGAACCGATACTTTATTTATATCCCTCCTTCTTTTTAAGAGCAATTAAGGACATGTCAATACCTGGTCAATCACACTTAAAGTTCAAGGATGCCTGACAAGTGAAAATTATGTGATGCTATCACAGCTGATATGAGCTGACCTCTCAGTCTCAACTTCAAAGGGCTGCCACCCATTTGGCACAAAACATGTCTAAAAAACTCAAATTATTTTCACATCTTCTGACAAAACAATCACCTAGTTATAAATGATAATTTACAAAGAGTGCTCCGGAACAACTTCCTAGCTTATTAGAAATCTAAATATTTTTTACTTGTAAGAAGCACCTGACACAATTTAGGTGTTTTATGATAACAAAAATCTAGTCATTCTAAAACACAACAAAAAAGTTCTTAGAACACCTTATTTTGAGAAAAGTGACTATCTTTGAGGAGGGAGGAAACAGAGATATGGCTTTAGCTGCTGCTATAATCTTACATTGAAGCAAAAACTGGAAGCAAAATTTTCATTCTGGAGGCAGACTGCTTCGGTTCTAAACAATTCACTACCTCTTTATGACCTTGAACAAATTATTTAATCTCCTTCCATTTCCTTTATTTATAAAATTCATATAACAATGTTTCCTGCTACACAGGATTAAATCAGTTGATAAACGTGAAGTGCTTAGAACAGTACCTGACATATGGTAAATTTCACTGCCATTATTATCATCAGCCTCACTACCTGTAATTGTCAATCATGAAATCTGGCTTCCTGGAAGGCACTGGGATAAGAGGAGGTTAGGTCAGATGGTATCTGATCATGTTTCTATACATTTCAAAGATAAATGCTATTTTTGTAACCAGTGATATATAACCAGTTTAAGTGGGAAAGCAGTATGAAGTGGAATAATGAAGTTTCGGTCTTCAATTTTCAAAAACATGAGACAATTCAGGCTTTGGAGTTTGATATTTATTTTTAGCAGGAAGAATATGCTAAGGTTCTGACATCGTTAGAAGATACGCCCATGTCCAATACCTGCAACAGAAGCTCAACAGAAGTTAAAGAAACCATACCAAAGACTAAAGACAAAAATTACATGTCATTACTTACCCTTAATTCTGCTAACAGTAAAACAAGTAACAGTGTGTTTAAGACTGAAGTTCCATCACAAGGTCAAAAACTGGTTAAGTTAATTATCAAACTTATTTTTTGGAAAGTTCTCTCTGTTCTATGCAAAATTGGGCAACCTCTCTAAAGGTGAGCGAAATGCCAACAACTATGCTCTGAGTGTGTATGTGTGAGCAGAGGAGGGGCAGACTGAAAAGGGGTAACGCTACATGGTGCTGACAGGACGGGTGGGAGAGCTCTGAGGCTGGTACTTAGTCAACTGCGATCACAGTAGAAATGGTAATTGTCTTTGGCACAATTAGAGACTGCTAAAACAACTAAACTCTAATAAATAAAAGCAACTTAACAGATGCAGCATCATAACATACTTAGAAATTTAAAGAGAACTGTCTTAAAAGGGATCCAGACATTAGAAATTCTAAGTATTATTAGAAAAAGAAATTACTATAGAAGCAAACAATTTTAACAAGAACTAATCAGATTAAAGATTCTGTTAAATAAAATCAAATCTGGTTCATTCCCTACCCCTGACAATGGCTATTCTGCTCAAAGGAAATTTGAGTTTCTTCTTTTAACCCCTGCACCTGACAAGACTTCTTGTCAACAATATCAATCATCATTCAATTTAAAGCAGCAATAACCTTCTACTTAAGGGTGTGTCCAACCCGAGAGTGGAGGAGAAATATGTTAAGATTCAAGAATGGAATAATGAAGTAACCCGAAGACTACCTTTCCTAAGCAAAAATTATAAAACTGCTCAGGAATAGGGAAACTGGGGACTGGCATACCGATAACAGAAAGTCTTTATTTCTTAATTGTATACCCAAAAGACTGCATGTACTCAGAACAGGAATTAAGTCCAAACAATACTTATTGTAGCTAAGACCAGACTTTATACTAACTGCTATTTTCCCATTATTTTTGTTACTGAGGATAAGGGTTTCAACGCATAAGATGAATTACTATTACTGGAATATCACATGAGTAATTTTAAAACACAACCAATTTTTGCTCATTTCAAATCTCTAAATTTTCTTAGGCAGACTGATTTGGTTCAAGTAAAAAACCAATTAATGTAGCTTAATTGGAGTAGCTTACCTGGGCCATTGTCTAAAAAGTCAAAATGTGCAGGAATATTAAGCTATTTTAAAGTTCCTACCAAAAAGAAATTTAATAAACAAACACTAAATAAGGAAAAGGTTACGCACTTCCAATTTATGTTCTTTCTCTGCAAGGGCTTCCTTTTGACAACGAAGAAAATCTGCTAACATTCGAGTGAGCTGCTTCCTATCATCTATTTCAGCCGCCAACCTGCCGTTGTAGTCTGCCAGCAACATACAAGCATCCTCTACCATTTTAGAAAGTCTTTCTCCAGACTCTTTATCTAAGAAAAGCACAGGATAACAAAAGTATTACACAACAAAAACAAGGCCATATGCTGTTTCCTTACCCTATCCCCCTGAAAAGTTCAGATCAGACTTGCTTTTCTTACCCGTTATTTTATCTAGAAGGGATACTTCTTGAACTTCAACAGGCAAAGAAGCTATCCTTTGATGAACTGCTGCATCACCAGAAGCTGCATTTTCTAGATCTTGCAATGCTCTAACGAGATCTAGAGTCTAAAAAGTTATACAACTTTAGAACCAAAATTAGTGAAGTTTAAACAAATATAAAAGACTTAAATTCATTTCATATTCCTTAATCTGACTATCTGACTATTAAAATGATGTGATTCATTTGTAAACCAAATATATACAGTGGTAAGAGGGAAGGCAGGCTATAGCTTCAACCTGGAGAATACAAGTTTTATGAATGACATATTCATTATATTATCATTATACTAATACATAAGAAGAATTTCTAGTACTAAATTAGATATTGGGGGGGTGGAAAATAAAAATTATCATCTATCATAACACAGAAGAGCCCCCCCCAAATTCTATCTCCCAATGAAGTAACTAAAGCATAAGAGAAATGCACTTCTGGAATATGTATGTTCACATATGATACCTTCAATTATTCTATGGTTTGTTACTAAGATCAATAAAATATTACAAAGTTCCATATCTGGTGACTAATATTTATATAATGCTTAATCAACATTTTAACATCACTATTTCAGTTGCACTGTTTTCATACCGGCTATAATTAGGAGGGATGGGCAAATCTTTGCTGACAATTCATAACATCTCTAAAATTATTCCAAAGAAAACTGAGTAAATTTTCTTTTTCCTAGTCTCCATTCCCATCCACATCCTTTTACTTTTTTTCTTTTTTTCATCTCTAAGCCTAGATTCTGGAACACTAAGAAATTACACACATACACGAAAAGTGTAGAATATTATTAACTCTGTACATATTTAGATGACATTGACAGCCAGTTTTGAATTTTTCTTTAAGCTATCCCCTTACAAAAAATGTTATTACTGGGGTCTAGCATACAGCAAGTAATCAAACATGATTAGAATTAATGGAACCTAGTAAGAAATATACTATCCCCAGTGTGCTTTTAATTCATTACTATGTTTTTAAAATCCAAATATTAAAAAAAAATTATTTTGTTATATTTCCCCACTACAAGGAAAATGAGCTTAAGAGCAATGACATGACAAGGAAGCTTGTTTCTCATGATGCCCCAAATAACTTACATTATTATTATTTTTTAATCAGATTTAGAAAGTTCTAAATTTTTCTGGATTTCTAAGAAACCTGGCTTTATGGTTTTGACAATGTATGCATGCTTTAATTACAAACTACTCTCATTATACCTTCACACTCCTACATGAAGAAAGCAAACTAAAACAACACTAGCCTAGGACTTCCTGAGAGAGGAGAATGAAATGATTAGATCCTATAAAGAGAAATCTTTGCCATTCTGAACCATTGAGAATTAAGCAATACAACTAACCAGAAAATGGTCATCATAAAACCAAAAGCAATTGCACCGTATACAACAAATACTAGAAGAGTCACATCAGGAACTCCTAGAAGTACAACTTAGGTTACTCTTTCATCAGGGAGAATAGGAAAGGGTCAGACCCTTTAATTAAAACTGGAGTAAAATATTGTTCTTGGAGGGAGTTTCAGTCCAGGTCTCCAAGTCCATGGAGCACTTAAATTCGTATTACTCTAGAGGATACTGATTCCTGCAAACCACGTTTGCTTCCAGACAAAGCTCAGCAGGAACCACATTCTGGCTCACATACTGAGTTATGTTTCTGTACCGTTTGTAGCCCATGAAGATATTTACCTTGTTTTAAGAGTATGGCTATGTCTTCATTTTCTCCTTTAAAATTCTATCTGTCCCTCCTATATGTTTGAAACATAGAAGGAGGAAGCTTTAAGACTCAATGTCCACATAATTAAGGTAAAAATGTCTTTTTGGAATCATCTGATGGTTAGAAAATGCTATACTGTACCAACCTGGGAGGACATGGAGTATTAAGATAATGATTCTAATTCATCTTATTTTATCATGGAACTACTTGGTTCCATATGGTTACATAGAACTGTATGAATACATACTTGTTAACTCTAACATGCATTTTTAAAAGCACGTTTAAAAATGTTTAAACATGCACGTTTAAAAGCAAAAATACTTAAAAAGATTGTTTATCTCTAGGCATGGAATTTTTAGCATACTTAAATCAAACAATAAAATAGTCGTACATTTTATTTAAAAGAAAACTGTTGAAATGGTGGATATCTCACCAGAGCTAATCATACCTGGCAATAAAATACTTTCTATGTGAAATATAATTGCCTAATATACAACACACATTAAACATAAGTGATTAACTGAAAAATAAGACTTATTCACATAGCTTGTTTCCTGTACCCAGAATTATAATAAGTCAATTTACAGAAATAAAATAGCAAAATTAGTAAAGCTTGATGGCTACATGAAATACTAGAAATATAACTCCCTCAACAGAGAAAAACTGCTACCTGTGGTGGTTCACTTGGAGATCCTAGAGAGGAACAGTTTTCATTCTCATCTACTTTTATCTGCTCATACGTTCGCTTCCTAGGCTTCTTGTCACCATCTGAGTTGAAAGAAAATTTAAGTTTTAATGAGAGAATGCATTTCAATGAAGAGATAATGATAAAAGATTATATACTTACAAAGAGCTTGCTTAAGCTGTTCTAACACATCATTTTCATAAACAGACCTTTCTTCCCAAATAGATAGTACTCTTCCAAGGTGCTTCTTGCAACTTTCATCAGTTTCACTAAAGAGAAGATAAAAACATTAACAGTAAAATGCACAGTGCCATTGCAAAGATAATGGTGATTTTAAATACAATGGTCACCCGTTTCCTGAAAAAAGCTGCCCAAATGTTTACTGAGTTTAATTAAGTGATCAGCAATTCAAGGGTGAAGTGACCAATACAGACATACTCTCTGCTTCCCTTAAAAAACTTAAGAGACAAACTATTAAGAAAAAAATTACCAAAAAATGATGAAAGTGCTAGTACTGGTGACAAGGGGTTATCAAGAAGGTACCTCTAACCTAATGGGGGCTGAACATAAAGCTAAGGAAGACTGCTAATAGGTGATTTTGAAGCTTATTTAACAAATATTTACTGATGAGTGTACGATCTCTGACACTGGGGATACAAATGGAGCTTTATGGCAGCTGTTATTTGTAAGAGCCACAAAAGAGAATAGAGTGTTAAAGATGGGCTTAACAGAGACATGGCCCAATTCAAGAGAGATCAAGAAAGGTATGGGAGGAAGTGTATTTGAGGAAATGATATATTTATTCTGAATTCTAAAGACTGGACACACAGAAGTGAGAAACAGCCCACTCCCAACCACTTCCCACCACATTCACCACTCCCACTGGAGACTGAAGACTCTGACTTCAGTCAGAGAAGAGACTATGATCTCTTGCCTGGAGTTTTGTAATGGCCTTTTCATTGGTTTCCCAGGCTCTACTCCTTCATCCTATTCTCTACTAATGTAAATATCATACTGCTCTCAGTCCTCTAAGAACCAGCAATTATACCAAGGAAAAAAGCGAAGACTTTATTTACCCTGGGCCACAAACTGGGCATGCTGACTTCCCGGCTACCTCTTAGACCACATTACCTAAATACAAATCTCCTTGCTGATCCTCAAATATGCCCAGCACATGGCTATCTCATCGTGTCTGCCTTGAGTTTTCTCTACTCAGGATCCTTTCCTGCTAGATAGTCAAATGGCCCATTTCATCCTACCCTTCAGTCTTTACTCAAACGCTACCTCCTCCAAACTGTCAATCCTTACCTCATGAAATAACTGAGAGTCATCACACTCTCTAGCTTCTTCCCTGCTTTATGTTTCTTCGTAGTACTTATCTCTTTGTTTACATTTTTAGATATATTCACTTGTATTATTGTGTCATCCACTGAAATTTAAACTCCACTAGAACAGAACTTTATACTTCATTTACTATTGTATCCTCACTGACCGGCACAAAGTAGATGGTCAATAAATATTTTATGGAATTTTAGGAAGAGGCAATAAATTAAAAAAGCCCAAGCCAGAAAGAACTATAAGTTCAGTTAACTTAAACCACATAAATTAAAGTGTGTATGTGGGGTGGGGCAGGGCGGGGTGGGGGGGGGGTGGCGATGTGAGGAGGTGGAGAAATGTGAGCAGGAGTCTGAAGTAGACTGGGCCAGGGAGAACACCTGAAGCCTTACTCAGGACTTCAGAACTGATCTCTAGAGAAATGAGAACCACTCAAAGACAAAAGACTGTTATAGTCAGTTCTACAACTATGGCTACAGTTTCCTAGATGGATTACACAATACTGGAGGCTACTGCAACTATACAGAAATAACATTATGGTAACTGGAATGACAGGAAGTCTAAGAACCAAGGGAACCATATGTACTATATGGGATAAAGCGAGTGAAGGAGAAAGGGCAGTGTGATGTATTATAAATCACGATATCACAAAGAGTTCAAGATAACACCTAATTTCTCACAGGGGCATCTGGATAGATGAAGTTGTCGTTCATCAAGAAAGTGAACTCAGAGAAGGAGCAAGTTTGACAGGGAAGAAGGATATTGTGAATTCAATAACAGACGTAGTTAAGTCTCAAGATGTGTGGAAGCATACAACTAGAAATCAATAGGCAACTGGATATACCTACAAGACTAAAAGGAAAAACACTGGACTGGAGCAAAGATTATCGGCTTTTAGGGTGTGGATAATAACTAAATATATGAAATGTATGAAATCACCCAGAGGGCTAGTAAAGAATATGACACCAGGAGGCCTTGGACTGAATTCTAAGAAAACACCAGCACCTGAAAAGATGGTAAAAGACAGTATCTAAATTGAAGGAAAAATAATATTAATTTAAGAAAGCAACATACAGCAGTGTTTCACACTCTGTAATTCTTTTAAAAAATGCATCTACTGTGACTAAACTTCAGGGCATGTGGTGAGTATATTTTCATCCTTAAATCATTCATTCAACACAGATCATTTACCACTGAATTCTACAAATTAGATGGATGTAATTGCCTACCCCAGTGTTTACCCAGTAATCTACCAAATATTTGCATATAATATCTGGAAAAAAGCATTTTAAAAGCACAGACTTCTACCTTCAGAATTTTTCTATAACAAAATTTTCAATAGGCTTGTGATTATTTTAAATATTCTGTATTTACAAAGCATTGAAAAATGTTGTGACATATACCCACACACCAGAAAACGTTAAAATCATTATACGCAATACAACAGAAAAGGGTAAGTTTTTCCAGAAATACTAGTTGGAAGATTAATCATTATAAGCACACAAATTTTGAATTCAACACTTATTCATTCTTAAAGAACTTCATTCGAAATATGGCAGCTGCTTTTGGTCACAAAAGAAACAGGTGAACTCCAAACGCCCACCTGAGCAAAACCTTTTCCTTCACACAAGTATTTAACACATTTATAAATGCCATCACTGATAAGTCTTCTCAAATGAAAACTTCAAAGAAATACAGCTTATTTTTTTATTTTAATGTCTTAAGTTTTAGCAAAAGGACACATTAGACATTTATAACAGATTACCTAGTACTCAAAACAATTATCATACCTGGAAACATGCTTAAAGGCCTCCACTATAACTGGTGCAAAATCTTTTGTAAACTCTGGCCCCTTCCTTTTGCTGTTCTGAATGACATCATTAGCTAGGTAGAGAAAAGTAAGCTTCCTGTTCGGTTTGGCTGGGGAAAAAAAAAAACAACTAATTAAAATACTCTCAACTTAACTGAGACAACCCTGAAATTAAGCAGTTTGAGAACTACAACTTACTAGCCTTTGTATATTAGGCTCAACCCCAGCTTCTCATTCGACTGCTAAATTCAGCAAGTCAATATTCTTTAAAGGATAACTACTCTATTGTTTCCGAAGATCACTCACATGAGAGAAAAAAGAGAACTCATGAGGCAGAGGTAGCCAATAAAATATTCCTTACACTTTTACTAAGTCATCTAAATCACTTATCTTTGATTGGTAGTCTCATCATTAGTTACAAATTAACAGTTTTATACACGGAAATCATCACATCTGTGTAAAAATGCATTTCTGTGACTATTCTGTACTAAATTTTATTAAAACTATTAAACACTATATGAAATACAGCCACTTAAAATAAGATGGTGACTGGTCATGTTATTAAAATGGTACCTTAAATCTTAACTGAATTTATGACTATTTTATTGACAATACATAAACTGATTTAAAAATCAATCATTAAGTTACTGTGAAACAAAACAGAACAAAATGTAAGAGAGGTTGAAAGAGGCATCACTTTGATCAATTATAGATTTTTTCACTTACGAAATAAGTATTTGTCAAGCTAACAGAGTAAATGCTAGAGAAACTAAGTGGACAAAGTTTAGATGTTTCCCCTCTTTGGATTACATGGCCTTAAATAACTGATTCATCTTGAAAAAAATACGCCCCTACTCACAATATTCTGTGGGTACGATTATCCTTCTAAAAGAGCAGACAAGATTTCAATAATCTAACCAGAATACATTTTCACTGATTAAATGTTAAGCGGCATAAAAGTACTGAATATGACTTAAAATTTATACATATATATATATGGAAAAATTAGTTCAACACAACCTTTTATACTATGTTCACAGTACAATTTTACTAGAATTGGAACCATTCAAAGTTGTACAGTCATATTCACAAACAGCATACTCTGTGACATCCACATTACACTGGTGTAGGGGACTTACTCTATTCACGTGGGTCAGTTTACTGGATTTAAGGCAAATATTCGGGCAGACAGCTTTCAGTCCTCAAGATATGAGTAATTAATTTAAAATTTAAGCCACTTTTGAGTTCACATTTTTCTTTTAGAGACTGTAAAGTATTGAGTCACAACTGATCAGACCTCACAAACCTGCAGTGCCCACTGACTGCATAACCTGGTTTGCCTGTCTAAAGTTGCAGTCTACCAATTACTGGGCTTTCAAAAGTTGCTGGCACAGAATAAAGATACAGGGAGAGATGGCAATAACAGAGACCAAATTCTGATTCTTCTGGTTCTTGTCTAGTCAGCTAAACCATAGAGTACAACTGATTAAGATACCAAGACCCTTTCCTGTGAAGATTATAACAGTAAATTTTCAGTATTCAACCTTATCTTAAAAAAAAAAAAAATTCTAACCTTTGCCCACAGAAAACCTCACACAAAGAAAAGGCCTTATTTAATCTAAGTATTAAAAGTATTAATCCAAGTATTTGCATTCTTGACATCAAAAAGAATTTAATACTCAAATTAGTTCTTAGCACTTTATATATATAAAACCTAATTTAATCCAAATAATATAAGGTATCATTATTATCTGCATTTTGCAAGTTGAACAAAAATAGACATCAAAAAGGTTATCTGTCCACAGTGAAATAGCCAGGAAGGAATCAGTCATGATCTGAACCACAAAAGTCCAACTCTAAAGCATTTCCTCATAACATTAACAACTGGACTATGCCTCCTGTCATAAACGCAAGTGGGTATCACTTTTTGAGAAGATTTAATAGCAATTCAACCAAAATGTTTCAGAATGTTAACAGTATTATTCACAACAGCTAAATGGTGGAAATAATCCAAGTGTCTGTCAACAGATGAATGGATAAGCAAAACGTAGTATATAAACACAAATAAACTACTATTCGGCCTGAAAAAGAAAGAACATTCTGACACAAGCTACAATGCTCAGATGGTAAAGAATACACCTGCAATGTGTGAGACCTGGCTTCTATCCCTGAGTTGGGATGATCCCCTGGAGGAAGGCATGGCAACCTACTCCAGAATTCTTGCCTGGAGAATCCCTATGTTAAGTCAAACAAGCCTGCCACAAAAAGACATACACTGTATGACTGCATTTGTATCAGGTACCTAGAATAGTCAAATTCATAGACAAAGTAGAATGGCGGTGGTCAGGGGCTGAGAAGAGGGAGATATAGAGAATTACTGTTTAATGGGGATAGAGTTCCAATTTTATAAGAGGAAAAGAGGTCTAGAGATGTATGTTAATGACAGTTGCACAACAGCATAAATATACTTAATATCACTAGAACTTCACACTTAAAAATGATTAAAGTGTACAATTTTATGTTTATTTTACCACAAAAATTTTAACGTATATATTTTACAATTTTTTAAATTTGTGAGCTACTAATCTCTTGAAAATAATTCAGAATCATTTTCTGCAATGTATACTAAAGTAAAAATTTACAAGATTTCAACATACATTTCCCAGTATATTCCAAAGGACGAACTCTGTACCAGTGCTTGGTCCAAATACCAAGACAATATTTTCATTTTTTCCCTTGTGGAAATCTCACCGAAATATAAGAAATACCTAGAAACTGCCATAAATTATACCCTTCTCCAAATTTTCAGGGGAAAAAAAATGTATTGCCATTTAAAATTTTATGTAGAACAAATAGTAAACTAATGGAACAAATTACAACAAGCAATTCCAGAAGAAATCACATTGTTTTCAAATAATTTTTTTTATAAATTGTAAATAACAGATCCATAAATTGTTTCTAAAACACACAAAGCTAACAACAAGGACAAACAAGCCATTTCACAATTTCTTAAAGAAACAACTCCATTGGCAACAGAATGTAAGGCTAAATAATGGGTCTGACCTAATCAATTCCTATGCTTTTACTGTTCATAGGGCTCCCTGTAAAGACACCAATTTTCCCAATCTTCCATTCAATTTAACTAATGTTTATTTAATATATGCTGTGTGCCATGCTGGGTTCAGACCAAAAATAATCTTTCCCATTCAATCAGGACTTTGCAACATAAAAACTGGCACAAGATAGGTCATGTGACTACTTTAGTTCTTTTTTTAAAATTCTCTCTCCACTGATAATATGACACCAACACTGAAAGCAACCATAAACTCAGTATTATATCCCAGTTAGTCTACCCTGGAGAAATTCATGGAGAAATCCATGGACTGTATAGTCCAAGGGGTCACAAAGAGTCGGATACGACTGAGCGACTTTCACCTCACTTCACTTAGTCTGTGTGTGCATGGCTATGTCTGTACCAATGAAGTATAAGCCAAATAAGGACCAGTCAACATATTGTGAGAAATCATTTTCTTACAGCTCACCTCACCAAACAAAATTTTAAGCTCCTGTAGGTACTAAGCACAAAGCTTCCCAGGTGGCACAGTTCAGTTCAGTCGCTCAGAAGTGTCCGACTCTTTGCAAACCCATGGACTTTAGCACGCCAGGCTTCCCTGTCCATCACCAACTCCTGGAGTTGCTCAAACTCCTGTCCATCGAGGCAGTGATGCCATCCAACCATTTCATCCTCTGTTGTCCCTTTCTGCTCCCGCCTTCAGTGTTTCCCAGCATCAGGGTCTTTTCCAATGAGTCAGTTCTTTGCATCAGGCGGCCAAAGTATTGGAGTTTCAGCTTCAGCATTAGTCCTTCCAATGAATATTCAGGACTGATTTCCTCTAGGATTGACTGGTTGGATCTCCTTGCAGTCCAAGGGACTCTCAAGAGTCTTCTCCAACACCACAGTTCAAAAGCATCAATTCTTCGGCACTCAGCTTTCTTTATAGTCCAACTCTCACATCCATACATGACTACTGGAAACATGACTAGGTGGACCTTTGTTTGCAAAGTAATGTCTCTGCTTTCTACTATGCTGCCTAGGTTGATCACAGCTTTTCTTCCAAGGAGCAAGAGTTTTTTAATTTCATGGCTACAGTCACCTCTGCAATGATTTCAGAGCCCCCAAAAAGAAAATTTCTCACTGTTTCCATTGTTTCCCCATCTATTTGCCATGAAGTGATGGGACCAGATGCCATGACCTTAAGTTTTTTGAATGTTGAGTTTTAAGTCAATTTTTTGACTCTCCTCTTTCACTTTCATTAAGAGACTCTTTAGATCTTCTTCGCTTTCTGCCATAGGGTGGTATCATCTGCGTATCTGAGGTTATTGATATTTCTCCCGGCAATCTTGAGTCCAGCTTGTGCTTCATCCAGCCTGGCATTCCCCATAATGCAGGTGGCACAGTGGTAAAGAATTTATGGAGATGCAGGAGACATGGGTCCGATCACTAGGTTGAAAAGATCCCTTGGAGAAGGAAATGGCAACCCATGCCAGTATTCCTACTTGTAAAATCCCAAGGACAGAGGAGCCTGGTGGGCTACAGTCTATGGGGTGCAGAGAGCTGGATGTGACTGAGCATGCACGCACACACACAGGTACTAAGTATAGGTCTTTGTCCAGGGACCTTGTATATGAACAGGTGAAATGAAGTAGATCAGTTGTGTCTGACTCTTTGCGACCCCAAGGACTGACTATAGCCTACCAGGTTCCTCTGTCCATAGGATTTACCAGGCTAGAATACTGGAGTGGGTTGCCATTTCCTTCTCCAGGAGATCTTCCTGACCCAGGGATTGAACCCGGGTCTCCTGCATTGTAGGCAGATGTTTTACCATCTGAGCTACCAGGGAAGTCACCATATGAACAGGTACATCAAAACAAATAATAACAATTATTAAATTCAGAGAGCTAATCCATGAAAACATAGTATTACCTAAAAAGTTGAGCATACACCTCAAAAAAGACAAAGCAAGTTCAGTTCATCACACAAGTAAGAAATAGTTACACAGTAGTTCAGAAAGAGGGCTTTCCTGGTGGCTCAGTGGTAAAGAAGGCGCCT